ACATTCCAACTAATAAGTTTTGGGGTCATTTTAACACTCTGTCATCCCTCCCTAGCAATTCTTTCCTTGACTCACCACCCTTAGAATAGAGAACATTTTATGTTTAAAGAACCTTTTGAAAATATTCTAATAATAGTATATTTTTAGCGTATATATTTATCACGTTATATATAAATTAAATGTATTAATAACTAAAAGATAAATTGTAGAAATTAAATTTAAAACATCTTTCACTAAAAAAACGTACATTTTTTTTCTCACGAATCGATCAGAGATCATTCAATTTTGATAGAGATTTTTCTAGGATTTAAGGAATTACACGATAATTGCCGAGACAGACTCACCATGATTATCAAGCAGTTCGAGGGCAAATGGCACATGACCCATACAAATTTATATTTATGTATCCACTATCTATATATCGATTATCTTTCTTATTTATTATTTTGAAGCCAGATTTAACCCTCTCATATATATATATATTTTTTTCATTATTAATAAATTGGTACAATATAGAAGTTGAAGAATAGTTTGGTAATGCACAAAGAAAAGCAAAAGGTTTTTTCAGATATAAAAAAAGTAAAAGGTGCTAATAATGTGATATGTTTCCTTTTTTTTTTTCACTTTAGAAAGGCACTTTGTTTCAAAAGTAACTTCTGAGTCATTATCAACATACGAAATTTAATTTTTTTATTAACTTCAAGTGATAAATATTGTTGATTGCAATGATCCGAGAATGGACACGGTCCAAATCTAAGCAAACCATCAAGGAAACTGTCAAATTTCAACCAAAGAGGCAAAATCCAGTAAAGAAAATGTTCAGTTCCAAATCCAAAAACAGGAAAGATGAACTTCTGTTTATAAACCATTTAACCCAGCAGATGAAAAATAAAAAAACGTCCAGCAAAACGAATTTTCGTCTCCCAGGTGTCATGAAAGGGAAACGGGCTGAAAACAACACGTTGACAAGGAAAATCCACTATTGATAACAGAACGCATGTTGGATCATATTATGCAAACATATTGAGCACAACACGGAGGCAAGCCCCATCATGCATCAGATCAAAACCTTTGTTTATCTCCGCAAGAGTCAAATTATGAGAGATGTACTCGTCAACCTTGATTTCCTGTAACGTGGAGAAGCAGATTGAGTTTGGAAAATGTGGAAAGCAGAAGAAAAAGATCAAAAACGAAAACCCAGCAAAGGATTATATAAATATAATGCTC